CCTAAGCTGTGAAAAGTTTTGATCTGGTTCAACTGTGACATCAAAGGTGCTGTGTTGACCAATCACGCACGGAGTGATCGGAATGTGGACGGCCACGGGAAGAAGTCTCATTTCTTTACCTTGTTAGCATGAGCATTCACTGCTTTCAGTGTTGAATTTGGGCCACCGTTAATGTACCATAATGACGAGGCATGCGTTTTCATTAGTACTGGATGTTAAACAGTGTTTTTTATCTTTTAGTACTGACACACTGGTGGTAGAATTGGTGCTAAGGTAGAGCAGGCAGCATGGCTTACCAAAACACGATGGAAGCTCCCAGGTTGGAAACTTGATTGATGCCACTCACACCGACTCGTCACAATGTGGCCGTATCGTACCTGCATATAATACTCCCCCTGGAACCCCCTGTGTTAAAACTTAGCAGGGAGCTGCATTTTTACCAATTCAGTGCCCACTTAAGCTAACAGACTGTAAACACGACAGTAGCCACTTTCACGGAACACAGCGTGAATCAGAGTACTGTACATTTTACACGTCTGATTCCGTGCCACTGCGTGTGGGATGTGAACTGTTGTGCCTCTACTGTAAATCTAACCAGCACAGAATCCAATATCTCAGAGTGATCGGCTGGACACCGGTCATTTGCGAACTCAGCCAATTAATCTGTGCATGTCTGTTGCTAACTGCAGCATGGACTACTGTGCATTTCTCTGAGTTTGGTAATGCCGAAAGAGTGGAATGTCTCAAGTCTTTAATGGACTTTTATGAAATTACATACAAGTATTCATGCCCCCTCTAAATGATTTGTAGTAACTTTGGTGAATAACATATTTGGGATCAAATTTTAAATTAGTTCCACACAGTGCTTGCCACTAGGTGCTCCAAATTTTACCTGAGATAGAAATGTACTATTGGCAGCACGGTGGGTAGCGCCGTTACCTCACAGTGAAAAGGTTCTGGGTTCGCGACCTTTCTGTGCAGAGTTTGCATGTTCTCCCTGTGCTTGTGTGGGTTCTCTCCAGGTACTCCGGCTTCCTCCCACTGTCCAAAGACATACGGCTTAGGTTGATTGGTGTCTCTAAATTGGCCGTAGGAGTGAATGTGTGTGTGTGTGTGTGGTTCTTCGTCTGCGTTTTGGCCCTGCGATGGACCAGCGACCTGTCCAGGGTATACCCCGCCTTTCGCCCGATGCCGGCTGGGATTGGCTCCAGCCCCCCAACGACCCCATTTGGGACTAAGCAATATAGAAAATGAGAGAGAGAGAGTAATGTACTAAAATAACTTGTATCTGCTCTGTTTACTGCACCATAAAGCATCAGGTAAACTGTCAGAGGAGACGTGTTCTGAAGTGACCTCCCTGTTCTTAAATTCACACATTGATGTCCACTCACACATATGCACATACTTTACAGTACAAGCATGGGCCTAGTTTATACTGTGTGGCCGATCAAGCCATTCATTTAAATTTTATGTATTTATTTATTATTCCCTTACTTAGCTTTGCAATTAATTTTTGGCCATGGTCCAGTCTGGTCTCATCCCAGCACTCTTCCACCTCTTATCTCTGCCTCTGTATCACTTGCTATTATCTGGTTTCATCCCCTATCTCATCCCCATCTCCATGTTTCAATTTCCTCAAGCAATTTGCATCAGGGGGGCAGGGGGGGGCTAATTTAGCAGATCAATAGGCCATCAAACAGTCTTTAAGTGTGACACATACACAGACCTCCTGTCTCAAGTTCCCCCTCTAACTAATAGCTTCATTGTTTACTTTACAGTGTGCTGTGTCATGTAGTTTTGGTCTCTGGTTGCCCTCTGGTGCATCGGGACATCCCCGGGGAATCCATACACTGGCTTTTCATAGCTGACTGATGGCAGAGAGCACCTGCAAATACTGCTTCAACATGTTGTTTTAGACTGTGTCTCATTTTGAGCTGAGTGTTGTGGATGATTGAGAATGTTTTTGCAACTTAGAAACAAATATACTCTATCTTTCAAATACATTTTTGGCTTATAACACCACACATGGAACATCTATACAAACTCCTCCGTGTGAAATCTTACCAGGGCAGTCTGTGCTTTTATCTCACAGAAACATGTTTGGTGACGTCTCTAATATCGTTTTTGACGATGACCTTTGTCAGATGACTAGGAGAGGTCAACAGAGGTTAAAGTAATGTGCGAGCTGAGCGAGCCCCCCCTGATTCTAGTCATGCAGAAAGAGCTCCCACAGAGTAATTTGCACACACATTCCCATTTGCTGTCCACCCAACAGGAACAGCACTCCATTGCTCCCAACCAGCCAGACCCAAGCTATAGGGAGGCACAGACCCATGAGGAAAGATAAATTTGATTCATAGTTTTTTCCAACACAAACACACACTTATCATCTGGTTCTCAGAGATCCCTCCTTGCTCCTCTCTCTCTCTCTTTGTTACACACTCTCTTCTTTAGTCCTTTCATTCAGTCATAATCGCACACAGTCGGTGCACAGACTACTGTGATAAGCTATGACAAGGCAAGAGGTGGGAGGCAAGCAAAGTAAGAATGGCAGAGGGAGGGAGTGACAACATGAAAAGAGCACAGTGGTAGGAACAGTTAGCACTTATGATGAGCATTGAAGTGAACTGTCTGACTTGTTTATGTCTGACTTGTACTTATTGGTTAGAATAAGGTGTTATGTTAATGACCTTATTCTCTGCAGTCCAGAGGTCCAGCATTGGTGCCTTTAAGTTAAAATGGCCTTCAATTTATGCCTCCATTAAATACAACATGAATGTTAGTAATATACCATTTGACCACACCTTGCATCTTGACAGTCTGCCATCATGTCTGAGTGGGTAGCCGCCAGGGATTGTGGGTACTGAGACGTCTAGCAGCTCTGAAACATGAGACAGGCTGCTGGACATACTACACACACACATTCATGGTCGGCGTCTCTGAATCGCACATGTGAATGCCTCATATTTCTTTCTTCGGTGCAGTGGATTGATGAAGAGCAAACAGCACCCTGGTTTGTATGTAAAATCTTATTTACATCAAAGATTTAGGTCTACATTATTTAAACTGTAAAGGGTAAGTGTTATGGTAAAGAATACTGGGGATCAAAGGCCAGAACCAATAAGGTCAAGTAACTTTCCGCTCAGTTAATGCAGGAAGTGGATATTCATCAGTGGGAAAAAATGCATGACTCATTTTCTGACAATTCACAAAGAATAATTTTAGACACAATTTTGTTTCAAGCCACAAGCTGGATCTAGTTTAGTTTGGTGCTACCAACAGATGCTGCCGCCCAAGTCAAGGATAATAATTTTGTGGCACAAGGGGAGTGAAACGCCTTGCAGGGATCAATAAAATGTCAAATTATTTTTGGCCTTGGGAAAATTATGAGGTTCACTGAGGAGCTTTTCAGATTGTCACAGTGGTTTACAGGATTTTAAAGGCCAGTATTATGAGTCTCTTTAAATATTGAATTACAAGAGCTAAAATCTTTTCACTTCTCAAAAAGAAACAATATTTGACTCTCATTTTGGTGTACCATAATGCATAGTTTTTACCCTGAATGAGCAGCTGATATCCCCAGTTTCACAAAATGTCATGATGTCATTGTTACGCGCTGAGTGTTCCTCTTATTTCTGTTCTCCTGGATGTTCTTTAGTTACACACTCCACAAGGCAGATGATGTGAGAAACAAAGAAACACCATATCCTAAGTGTAGCCCTGTTTCCCTTTTGAGGTTTTGGGAATTACTGTGGTGCATTAATTCACTCTAGAGTGTGGAGTGTTTCCGAAGCACAAAAGCCTAATCTTTTTCTGCAATGAAGTAGAATAACGCCTTTCCTTTATGTACACTTAACAGTTCAGTTATGCTGAGACTGATGATGATGGCCTGTGGCTGTGTTCTGGCAGCAGAGCAGCCACCGTTCAGGAATAGAAATTGAGGATCGGGACACAGATCACACACAGAAACTTAGGAAGGAATGAGCCTCAGCTCCTGTCTGTCCGCCACCTCCTGCATGGATCAATATTTCCCCATGTTTTCGTTTCTCGGGGAGGAACAAAATTAGCCTTCTGATTTTGTGTAGTTCATGTATGAGTAAGTACAATTCAGACACAAAGTGAATGAGCCTCACCTCATGAATATGTCACCACTTCTTGTTGTCTTGTACATGTGGTGACCCTTCAAATAGAATAGTAAAGAATCAGTAATCCAAGTTTTAAATTTCTCAGTGAGATACAACTTTAGGCTGAAATCATAATGATCATCTGGTATACCATAATGTGCTTCTTATATCCTTACTATAGCTGTTGTCTCATCAGTTGCAGATAAATATTTTGAGCTTGATATCATTGTCTACTGTTTGTTCCCTGAAACCAATCAGTTTATATGTCTCTGTTCCTTTTAATGATAATATCCAACTGACAGTAATGGATTTAGGCAACATTGAATTATGCATGTTTTATACCATTTATACCCACAATTGGCACATCAGTACGTGCCTAGTTATTGAGGCCTGAGTTTTGGTAGGAATAATGTATGCAGGTTTTATACCATTTATAACCACAATTGGCACATCAGTATGTGCCTAGTTACTGAGGCCTGAGTTTTGGTAGGAATAATGAGTATGAGCCTCCAAACTATTTAGGCCGGCTGAATAAGAACACATGGTGTCATGTAAAACAGGTTTGCATCAACAGCTTTTACCGAGATAGGATGTTTTAGGTTTTTGCTTTGATTTCATATTTTGTCTTTTTTTTAATGTTCGTGTTCAGTTATTGTCTTCTCATACTCTTATTTTAACAAAGATACTCTGATAATGGACTGTTTGGATTAATAAACTTACTGAACCACTGTGTCCCTGTTCACTGCAGTTTCACATGATAATGACCCAGTAATTTCCAAAACCCAAAGTTCACCTCAACATGCTGAATCAGTTCTGTAATAATACTTATTGAATGAAGATGTTTTAATTACAGGGTAATGAGCCTTTAGACAAAGGTGGAGTAAAATAACAATAGTAGGATACTCAGGAAAAAATAGGCATGCGTGAAACACAATAAAAATGTTACATTCATTTAAATACATAGATAATTTTAGTAATTCAAATTCATTATGATACTGGAAATGCATGCAAATAGGCTATAGTAATTTCTTTGGTGGCTGCTGGAAATGTTATTAAAAGCATAAAAATAATGCCATGTAAACAATAAAAAGAAATGACAGACGCTCTTTAGGCCTCCCTCAGGCTATCATTAGTTTAGGCTGCTCTTTTCTAAATAAAACGGATATGTGTAACTAGCAGGTTTAGTGGCAGACCTACAAAACCCTTAATTCCGAAAAATAAATAATATCGAATCAGCTAATTTTTTTGATATGTAACTACTTCGCTGTCGTACTTTCAGTGTTCGTGAACAGCTGAGGCCGCAGGTCGGGCCCCACCCTCTAAATGCTTTGAACTTGGCAACGCACCACCAGAAAGTGTCTCTTTCACGTGGAAAATTCTAAAACCATCATACATCCCCGTCATACAGGCTGAAGTACTTGCTGGCGTTTGAGAAGCAGAGATAAGGCGTGCTACTCCCCGGGTACACCACGGGGAGAGGAACGGGCAGCAGGCACCTCCCCAGCAGGTTGCTGTCTTTGTACATGGCCGGGAGCTGCCCCACCACCACCACCGGCTTTCCAGTCTCGGGGAAATCGCTAACGGGTCCTTCGATGTCGGTGGAAATTTGCCGTTTCAGTTTATTCCTGCGGTTTTGAAACCAAATTTTCACTTGGGTTTCCGTGAGCTGCAGGGAACTGGCGAGACAGGCGCGCTCTGCGCTGCTCAGATAACGTTTCATGTCGAAGGTAGACTCCAACTGGAAAATCTGTCTCTTGGAGAAAATAGTGCGCGTTTTCTTTTTCGTCATCATTTTGCTCTTCTTGACCGGACAGGCTCCTTTGCGGGGTTCCGTGGGCGCGATGGCGGAGCCGCTGTCGTCGCAGCTGCTGTCCCCGCTCTCAAAGCGCACCTCCTCCGCCTTTCTCGGATCTCTGTGGCTGCTGATGACCGATTCCGTTGCTCCGCTGCAGTCTGTGATCAACTCTAAAACAAAAGTACACTTCGTTTAACCCGCTGTGTTTAAGTCTCCGTGTCATCACACTCAACTGAAACTGCAGTATTATTTGATAAGAGTCGTGCCTAATTGTGAATACGGGTGACATACGGTACACAGACTGCAGCTCTTACCGCTTTCGAGAACCCTGCTACCCGCGCCCAGACTCTGCTGGGCTCCGTGCTCCTTGTGGTGACTCTGGAACTCGTCTTTATGCGTCACCATGATCGTGTCATCCTGCAGCCCGGTGGGGAGACATCTGTCATTGTTGGCCCCGCTTGTCTTGAGGTTGAGAATGTTGTCAATAGTGAATTTCAAAGAGGCAGCGGGTCGACATGGTGCGTCCACTTTGTTCATATTCTCCAAGGCCTTATTCCTCTTTGTTTCTTCCTTTTTTTCCCTGTTTTACTTCTGCTCTGCTCGCCTTTAAGTTGAAACTGGGGCGTTAATCTCTCCACTAACGGCTCGATGCTCCACGCACCATAGTAGCAACCACTGAGTAGACACTGCTAGGCTGGCGATGCTCTGCCTGCACCGTTTCTGCGCACAGCGGATGGAGCGCGCTTCGTCCTCGCTGATTGGTCCAGAGCAGCGTGCAGTTCGGGCCAATAACAGCGAGGAGAAGGGAGGGGGTAGTGTTGTGTCTTCTCTCTCCTCCTCTCTCCTCCACTCCTCTCTGACGTTCCCTCATCCTCCTGCATTTTCTGCAAGGAGAGCCGAGGTCCAGAGGCCTGCCGGGGTCCCCCAGGAAAATTGTTGAATTTCACGGTTATTTCACACTGTGCAATGTGTGCACTGTGAGACCATGCGCACTTGATTACGCACTGGTGTATATCCTGAACTCTGTCTTTCTGCAGGATCGGCCTGCCAATTGCTTAATTCAGGTCAGATTTGCGTGTCCCGAATTTGAAAAACGTTTTTGCCCCTGAAGTTATTATTATGACATTGCATTGTGCGCGTATCACTGTGTTTTGCATAATTCTCAAATATATTATTTTTAAAAAGCTATTTTCTTTATGGAGGTATTTGTTGTATTTCAAGGCGTAGATAAGTTCTCATTTAAAGGCAGTGCGAAATGTCAAAATGCAGCTTTAAATCAGTCTTAGGTTTTTGTTGATTTGAACCCTTCTTTTGCTATTTACTGTTTTCTTTACGTTTGGGGGCATACATGCTTTTGGAGAAAAGCTGAAGTTCATAATCAACACAGTTATTCGTGGCGTTTTGACTTTATCCGTGCTTTTTGCCTCAGACCTATAGATTTTTTTATTTAGAACTCAAGGACACAGACTTGGCAGTAAGAACGAAACAGGTTGACGTGAATTTCTGCATGTTCGGGTTATTGTTGAATATTTTTGTTTGTCATTGGGGGAAAGTCCTTTCATAGATAACCTTATGAAATGCTCTGCTCGTTGGACGTCGAAACAGAAGACAGGGGATCCTTCTTACACAGTCCTACTTGCAGCAGAAACTTCGCCAAGTGTATAAAGTTTAACTTTGTCCATCTCTGAAAAGGCAGTTGTCTGTTCTAGGCCTTGTTCTTTGGCTTGTCAGAGAACATCTGTTTTCACTTTGTTACCCTGCACATATACGATTAACAGCAGCGTAGGCGTTTATAGAACAGAAACAGATTGTTTTGTGCTCGTTTTTTATTTATCTATTATGTGAAAAAGTGACAAAGTTGAAAAAATCCGTGGCTTTAAATATAGAGTTAAGTTTGCAAAAATATGTGTGTATTCAAACATATACAGTACATGAACACCGGCCTCCATTGTCTCTATGCTGTGACAGGAGCAGACTCTTGAACACAAATATGAGTCATCTCGCCATAATCAGCGGCTGCTGATACAGTCCACAGTTTTATGTGTTATCACACGAGTCGGTGAGTGTGTGTTTGATGGTGTTCACACCAAGCCGGTCATCTGTGACCTTAACATGCTCATGGAGTGAGCAAACGAGGACAGAGAGCTGACAGAGGTGGAGAAGCCAGCAACGGGCGGAGAAACAGGATGTCTGTTCAAGTTGAAGCCCAGTGTTGCAGTGAGTGCGGGTCCCTCGTGATACAGGATCGGGACCCTAACAATCCGCTGGGTTGAATTTGGGATATGAGCAGCTTCTAGATCCACCGACAGCTGTCTCTTCCATTTATTCCTCCTGTTCTGAAACCAGATTTTGACCTGCGTCTCTGTCAGGTGGAGAGACGCTGCCAGCCCCGCTCGCTCCGAGCTGCTCAGATACCGTTTCACATCGAAAGTGGACTCCAGCTGAAACACCTGACTGCGACTGAACACGGTCCGGGTCTTCTTCTTCCGGTGGGAGTTCGGGTCGGACGCCGCCTCTTGCATCGGCCGGGTTTCAAAAGTGTACTGCGCATCCTCGTTTTCGTCTGTGAGGTTGCGCTCGCCTGGTTTCCGTTCCGTCTCCTCGCTGGTCTCCGTTATTGTGTCGGACACTGCGGGTGAATCTCTGTCGCTGGTACATATGGAGCAGCAGTACTCCTCTGAACTTGTGTTGTCTCTTGGACCTGAAAGGAGAAAGACAAATAACTAGAGTTACACCAATAAATATTAGCGAAATATTCTATTTTCTCTGTCAAGCTTTGTTGTATTTTTTTATTCTATTTTACACATTGAAACGTCCCCCATCTGCATCATGAATGAATAAATCTGACACCAGAAAAAAGAAATACAAATGCACCACAAGAAAATGTAAGTTTGTTTTCACTTACGTTAAAACGTGAATTCTAAATTAACTTGGATTTAGTTCATGCACTAAACTTGAGGTGCACATGGGCAAAGTTGAGACGTTTTGAGTGAATTGCTGGACATATAATCCCTCTTAGGAAGTTAAGACTGTAATTCATAGATACCAGGCTTGAATTGCTGGACATATAATCCCTTTTAAGACTGTAATTCATAGATACCAGGCTACTACAGGAAACCCAGCAAGATTTTAGCAGCGTTTAACTGAATATATCATGATTCACTGTGGGCATTGACATTGGCCAAGGGGCTTTCATTACTTGTGAACACAGCGATTGTGATACTGGACGTTTATATACACGCCAAAGGGAGGGGCATTTTGTTTTCATATAAAGGTGCGTGTGAGTGGCGCCAGTGGCAAGGGATGTGCGTAAAAGTGCATGTTGACGTGTAGTGCCCCTGCGCGTCTCGTTTTGGGTTGGATGGTGGGTATTTATGCTGAATCTGCAGAGTATACCCGTCTTAGTGACAAGTATGAAGTATCCGTAGATAGCGCTTTGGCTCACAGACATCAAACATTAAGTCTGTGTTTTACAGATTTTGTACCTGAGTCTGTTGATTAACAGATTAGACGAATGGTAAATTAACTTGCATTAGAAATCACGTCACGTTAGCGTTTAAGGAGTTTGGAAACCGCTGTAAAAACCAGGTTGGGAAAACAGAGCACAGCACTGGGATCCTCGACTCACCTAATTAAAAAGTAGCATTATTGTGCTCACACATGAGACCATAAGCAAAAATGCTCTGTTGCTGTTCCTTTTAAAGAGTCTATTGGCTTGATGCTCCGTGCAATTTGCAATTTGCCTAATTTTGTATCGGTGAGTATAAATGACCCATTCATTTAAAAAATGCTAAACATGCACCAGTCTATTTCACCTCTTCTAACAGTACCGGTAATATCTGCAACGCACTGTCTGTGCGTTCTCTGTATTTTGTTGCACACAGCTTAATTTTAGAGCATGACGTTCTCGTCACGCGTAAAAGCTGTACTCACTGTGCGGTTCAAAAGCTCTGAAGTTCTCAGCACCCCCGCGGTACCACTGCAACAGCGGCTCTCTGTATGGGAACGGAGCTGTGGAACTGGAGCCATGGGACGCTGGAGCGCTTGTGTCGGCGAAATGTGCGTTTGGGACTTTCCCAGTGGAGACCGTCTCCACTTTCCCTTGACTATCGCCCGACATCGACTCCTGCCCATTCCGTCCCTTGCCGAGTATGTTCTCGATAAAAAAGGATGACACCCTCGATGAAGTGGGAGTCGGGCTGTCCGCAAGCTTATCCTGCATGTTTTCCATATGTCACGGTGCTTTTACGGAAAAACCGAGCGAAGCCTGACCCGAATGCGCATTAAGACAGCCGAAAGGCCAGTCAAACATTTCAGGCGTCGCTGCTTTTGCGCTGTGATCGGATGAGTCAATGCAGTGACGGGACGGGTATGTCCTCGGTGTCACCGGGAGGAGGGGGAGACCGAGAGCAGTACAGTGAAAAATGTTTTAAACGAGCCGAGGCCATATAGCGATTGGACGAGCACAAGAGCAAATAGGGGTTTCCAAGGGAAGGAGAATTACTGTAAGCAGTCTCTGCGTCAGCCGCCGCTGCTGCGTGCGTGCGAGTGTGTCTTTACGTGCAGGCCCGTCCCCTCGAGGCCAAGCAACCAAGTACAGCACTCTTTATTTGGGTCAATTAGAGTGCAAATAAAAATAAAGCTCCACTAGGGCAGCAGCCTGGGACTCCACTCTGTCTCGGTCTGCTCTGACATAGAAAACGCTTACAGTCTGCCATTAACTAGCAGAGACACTATAGAGCCTGTTATTGTAAGGATGCATGTATACCATTATAAAAACCTGCTTGTATTATAAGCCTGTAGAATGGGTTTGGGTACCCTTTGACGGGATCTGGAGGATGCTGATGTTTCCATTTTCAGTTCATAAAATAATTCGGTTGTGATTCACAGTGGCGTGATGTTCTTGATCACAGCTGTCAAAGGTTAGCAACACTTTCTCTGACAGCTCAAGCACTTGACAATAGGCTTATTGTGCACCGTGTGATTTTAATTAATTAATTATATGCGTTCTCCTTGATCCACTGACATGTTCAGGCCCATTGGTCAGTACAGGTTCTCTAATAAACAGGAGCCGCTGATGCCTGCAAAGTGAATATCAAACTGTTGTTTTATTGTCATGTTGTTTTTATCTTTTTATGATAAATTAATAACTGTAAACTCACCATCGCAATGTGACTTAGAACATCAGGCCTTTGGTTCTTGGGAAATCTTCCCACAAGGTAGCGAATAACATTCTTGAAAACTCGACTGGTCCATAAGACCCCATCTTAAAGTTACTGACTCTTCAGTTTGTTCTGCTGCTGAGCTAAGAGCGAGTCTTCATCATTAGGAGTAGCCCTTATAACTTACTGTGCAAGCAAAAGTTAACTGGTTAAGGTAGATGCCACTGAATGCAGCCCTCATCGCGCGGATTAAGATAAGATTATCATTACTAGATCATCTGAAACATTTCAATGAGTGCTGGCGGGCGTCTTTACCCTTTCCGTTGAAATGGCAAGACATCTGAGCCTTTTCCTTCCCTTCACTTCAGTGGAGTCAGCAGGCTGACCTTTAATCTCCCCCCCTCCTCCCTCCCTCCGTTCCTAAGGCTAGACTTACCCTTTGACAGAGGATCAGCGGTTCAACACTCCGCGCAGACACAGTAACATAAGCCGCATGTTGAAGAGCTGAGTCTTGCACCTGTCTTGTAATGTTCTGCTCAGTACAGAGACTTGATATTGCG